AGTATGGTCTAGGCCTGCTCTATTTTTAAAAGTGTCCTGAGATAACTTCTGTTATGAATTGGCGCTATACAAATAAAATTGAATTGAATTGAATTAAAAAAGGCTCAGTAGTTTTTATCAAACCTTACTCAAACAGAAGGAAAGTGGCAGATGAATCCACATTTGGTGCTCTAGTGAGTATTTGGGGCAGCAGGATGGTGTATGTGGGATTGAGTGAAAATAAACTACAGTCTGTGTTTATGGTGATGAAGAAACAGCCAGTGCAACAGTGTGGCTCACTGATGGCTATTTAATCGGTTTTTTGACAACAATGGAGCTCTATGGCACAGAGGAAGAAGCTATATCATGCTTTGATACATACACAGTACTTGTAACTGATACATTTCACTGACAAGAATATAGATATAAACGTATCCTTTAAGCCTATTTTCAACTCTTTATGCTCATTAAAGCCATTTAACAGACTTTGGATGAGGTCAAAACTGCATTGTCTTTGCCTAAAACAGTGATGTGAAAGTTATTTGTGATTTGCAAGAGATTAAGTTGTTACCGTTAAGAAACATTTCTTTGTCACTGTGAACAGTCCATCAGAAATTGTCCAGCTGTGTGACCATTAGCTACAGCACAGAGAAGAAAATGTGCTTTTCAGTTTGCATTTGAAATAACAATCTGACATTTCAAGTCCACTTTTCTATTCTGATTCTCACAAAAGTGTTTCCATTTGTTATTCAAGCAAAAACATCTGATGCAAAAAAATTTCTTGGCCGCATTCAAGGGCATCTCAAGAAATTTAGCTGAAAAGATGGAAATTAGAGTCAATTATTCCGTGTCCTCTTTGTTTAACCCCGGTTTACCTTAACCACATTAGTGATCAATACAAGTGTGAACATAATCCGTATCACTTTACCTCCTTCTGATCAGCCCTAATAAATGGGCTCACTCTGAGCTGCTGGAGAGCAGAAATACAAAATCATCTGATTTCCATTTAGTGCTTTCAATGGGAAATGTCCGTGTGAACACTGCTACTGAAGTCAGAAGACATCCTGTTCCATGTTGTTGCAAATACCCTGGCAAGGCTAACTATTACTCCTTATAAAAGATTAATTGTGCTGATTATTAATTCAACCTCAAGGCTAACTCTCCTCTGCTGTAAGAGCCCCTTGATGTTACTCTTTCACTCCCTCCTTCTCTTTCTGGGTTCATGAAATAGACGTAAACCACAGAGTGAGTGCGTGTCAGTGTGTGTGTGTGTGTGTGTGTATGTGTGAGAGAGTGAGACGGACTTCTTGACTGCAAAAACACACTATCCCTCCTTGCTGATGGGGTGGTACCTTTTGGTAGAGCAGAGGGTTTTTACTTGATTTCATGCTTCCTGTGAACCACTGTTTCTTACTGTGCATATGACAATAAACCTATTGAATGTGTGGTATTCATTTTGTAAAGAAATTACAATCAAATGTTGCTTTTGTGTGGGAACACAGAGGACAAAGAACCTCTCTCTTTATCAGGACTTCACCAGTGACCAGCAGGGTTGGGTACCGTATTTGGTACCAACCGAATTATATCAGTATTACCGAATACCGATTAACTTTAAATTATAAAGCTATAGATTAAGTTTGACTTCACATAAATAAATAAATAAGTAAATAAGTTTCATTATTCAGTTTGTAAGTAGTAGTAGAAGTGTTTTCTAGTAGATTAATAAAAATGGCTCTACAATCTCAAACATCAGTCTATGGCATCATCTAATGTAATCTATATTATTTTTTATCATTTGTTATTAAATATTTTTATCACAGTGCTCAAGTCAGCAGAGCTAAGTCAATAACAACTGTTTATTTACCAGCTCAGAAATAGAAAATGACTAAATATTTACCATTTATATTTGCCATAAATGTATTATTTTGAGATTTTTTGGAGAGAAAAAAAAGCATTACATATGAAAAAATATTAATAGCACTGAGTAGGGTTTTGCTTCTTTACAAAATGAAATTAAGTAATTTTCACACAGTCCCTTAGGTGCGTATACCTGCAAGCAGACCTCAGCCGAAACCACATTACATGTTTTATGAACATGTCTTTGGAGATGTCTGAAAATAGAATTAATTTAGTATTTTTTTCTTTCATTGAGCAAGCAGTAATGGTTGTATTATTTCCACGTGTCTGTAAACGCCAACAAGTTAATGAATGTTTAATTAGAAAAGTTTCTCTGCTCCATGCTCGTGGGTTAATTTAGACCACTGTTATTCTGTTTTTTTTATTCTGCTAAGTGCAATTATTCCCTATCTGTTTTCCAAGAAAATAAAAAAAGATCCATCTGTGAGGGTTGATTTGGGCTTTGGAAAGCAGAGTTTGGTGCAGTTCAGTGGCACTGTGGTGAATGTATTTCAGTAGCTGGAACAGAATTCTATTGTCTGCAACCTCCCACTATCAGCACACACAAACACACTGTGAGGACCTTCCATTGTCTGCTTTCATTCCTGAAGAGAAACTAACCACAGCCTGAGGTGATCATCACTAACTTGCTCATATATATATATATATTTATATATATTTTTATATTTAGAGCTCAGGTATAATCTCTTGCCAACTGATACAATACATGTTAAATGAGTTTCTCTGCATGAAGAATGCCTGCTGTTGTTTAAGGAACATTACAACTGTTTACTTAAACTTACCGAAACTGAATGTATGCAGTTGATGTGTACTGCAGAACTACCCAATATGTGATTCATGCATATTGTGTGTGTGTATGTGTGTTTCTGCCATTAAGCAAAGAGAGTGTTACTGGTCAACATATAATACTTTTCACTCCTAAATCGTCAAATACTGCCCCTTGGTCAGTGTTCATCTGCTTCAAAATATGACTCTGTACTACCAGTACACCTCCACTACATATCATTTCTGGACATGCCGGGCTCAACAGCAAAGTTAGCAAGAATAAATATGCAATATTTAGACTTTCAAAATAAAGCTTGCTTGGCTAACATTGTGAAACGGTCACAGTTTGGTTAGGATTAAGGACAAAAACTACTTAGTTAGGTTTAGGAAAAGATTATTAGGTTACCTAACATACATTACTTAAAGGGCCAGTGTGTGGGATTTAGTGGTATCTAGCGGTGTAGTTGCACATTACAACTACCTCGCTTCACTTCCATTTTCCTAGCATGTGGGACAAACTATGGTGGCTGCAAATTGCGCGAGTGTTAGGTTTGTCCGTTCTGGGCTACTGTAGAAACATAAAATAATGTTTAATCTGAGGTGACACAAGAACTGGAGGAATTATAATAATAATATTGGGAAATTCAAAATATGTATTGTGTTTTCATAAATGTGGATGAGATATAAATTGGAAAGTGAGTTTCCATAAAATAATTTTTTAACCACTTGGACGTTTTATTGCATTTTGATGAAGCATGTCATTGTTTACAGGAAGTGAGTATCTATCTGTAGAAAAAGGAAGAAGAATGGAGAGGGCGTCGCCTCTGTGCTCCCTGTGAAGAGCATTCCTCCCTGTCTGCTCCCCCCTGGTCCTGTCTGGACTGGATGATAAAGTACCCAGACAGGAGGTCTGTCAGTGTGTAAGTGGCCCGTGCCCAAGCACCTCTCCCGGGGCGCAGTGTGGGACAGGGGGCCCCGGCTGGGTGTCTGATGACGGACTATAAGTAAAGTACGATTCTGATCTGTACCCATACATTCCACCCCCCTCTGATCTCATTCTGCATCCTTTACTTCCTCTGCATCTTTCTTCCCGTTTTGTTTTTCAATTTTCTCTCCTCCCTCATCGTTCTTTTCTCTCCTTCCCCGCCCCCCCCGTCCTTCTTTATGTGGATGCCTACGTGGAGTCCTTTCCCTGTGTTATCAAAAAACCCAGAAACACACACATGCACACACACACACACTTAAGAGATTGAAAACACCACGCGTCATTACCTTGCTGAAAAAACGCTGCCAGACAGCCTGCCTGTCTGCCATCTATCTGTTCCCACTCCTCAGATGAATAAGACGCTTTCTTCCTGTTCCTCCCTCAGAATCTTTTGCCTCCTGTTGGCTGTCTGAGAGGTCATGGGGTCACTGCTTAGGGGGAGGTGTATTGACAGGGTACTGATAGGCCAAGCTCCTCTTTTGTCTCCCATCAACTCCAGTCTGAGGGCTCCACACATCTGGTGGCAGCAGGGTGGGTGGGTGCTAGATCCAAAGCGAATGGATGCACTACTTTCTCCTCATTTATAGCTGACAAGGGGAATTTAGTTTGGATTTGGCGGTAAGGATTCCATCCTTCATCTTCATCCTCCTCCTGCAGAAGGTTCGAGGGTCTTTCGGCTGCATCCAGTCGCTGCAGGCATGAGCAGTAGCAGGATCCCCCCAACGCTAATACTTCAGCGCTAAAAGCCTTTGGGGTTCAAATTTACAAGACCTATCTGTCTCTGCAGTGGGGTACTGAAGTCAAGAACTGGATGGCACTCTCTTCTTTATCTTGAAAGCGAAGCGCAGCACTCCAGTTGAGATCTGAGAGCTACAAATGCCATATATGGCTCTCTTAAATTCAAAGGGCATACACCATCACAGCATACGACTGAAATTAGCGAGGCCCGCTGCATATGAGATGAAGACACTGGGCGGGATGGCGCCTGTCATTAGAGGTGTTAGCGACTTTTTATGCTTTTAATTTAATGATTCCAAAATTCTGTCATAACAGACTGCAGAGCAGTGGCGCAGAGTGCAGAGCAGGATTGATTTGTTCATCTTGAATTACCTTTCAAGTCAGGAGGTATTGAGCCGAGAGTCAAGGGGACTCGTCTGCACCATTCAATAGGTGGGATGGGTCATCTGCCTTTAAGGGCTGCTGAAGCTCACAGTCTGTCATTATCCTGTCCCAGGATGGTCTGAATGCTCTTTTTAAGATGTTTGCACTAGAGGTGTTCAGTGCATACTGTATAGGGCAAATCTTATCATGTTCTCATTATTGTGACTGAATCAGCAGTCTTGACCCCCTCATTGGTGATTTAAAGTATTGTTGTGATACACAGCAGTGGTTCTCAATCTTCTTCCATTATGAGCCCTTTTCTATCATTGACTAAACTGATGACGCCTGACTAAGTGACATATTTTATAGAGTTTTCATATTATATTCAATAACAGTGGAGAACAACTGATAAACTATACAACGAACCCAAACAAGGAACACATAAACTGCAGGAAGTCTGTGTATTTCCTGTGAATATTGATCAGAGATGACTTTCCTGATATTTTCAGGAATTCTTAATACAATTCTCTGTCTATGTTATGCTATTATTAATATTTTCATACACTCTGAAAGCTAGGGTAAGTAATGTTGGAAAAACTAGCAAGAGATGGCTATATTTTGAAAGTATCCAACCCAAAACATCTCAATCTCCCTTCAGGTCTCCCTCCAAAGCCTCTCCCCCAGAACTTATGAACACACACATTGTTGTCATCACTGACTGTATCCAACTACCTCTTGTTTCATTCATACTACATAGTATCTTAGCATAGCATCTTGCTTTGTTAAGCACTGCAAACTATTGTAGGTACAGGTGGGTTTATACATTTTTGCTGCCCTTTCTTGCTAGCTCGGTAGCTTCAGCAATATCTGCCTGACAACATGCAGAAGCGTGCAGTCATGGGCAGCAAGGCTTTCATTGTTGGCCTATTGGCCACACTGTGCAAACACAACAAAGCCTGTTAAAAATGGAATCCCAAATCTCCCAGATTTCCCAGCTGATTTTAATGAGTAAGGCAACCTAACCCCAAGAAACTGCTCATGGGCACCGCTAACGTGGCGAGTCCATCACTCCACCATCTCTCTCCCTGTTTGCATGTCCACAAGTGTATGAAGTGTGTATTTCAGCCTGTGTGTGTGTGTAAAAATAAAAAGGAGTGAAAAGAAGAATTTCCCCAATAGGGGATTAATAAAGTATATATCTTATCTTATCTTATCTCTATCTAGACAGTCCATTTCTCCCACTGTTCTCGATATTGTTCTTCTTGGGTCCTTATCCTATGAGTCAACTGTTCCATAACATGTATTTCATCCACAATTTTCATCTTGTGTTGGTGGATCTGGCTTATACCATTTTACTCGTGATTGTTTTTTTCAAGCTGCTAACAACATTTTCAACAAATATTTTTCCCGGTCATATTGCCAAAAATATAGTAATATACATGACTTAGATACATCATAACCCACTACATTACTATCCTGCACATTGTAAATATCTGTAATTTCTGGATCTTCTTTCTGGAACGTTTTTTTATCCTTATCTTTATTTATTTATATTTTAAAAAGTACTTTATTTTTGTGTGATTTTTATGCACCAATGCACCAAGACAAATTC